CCTGCTTTGTTCATTGTACAATATTATCATTATTATTGCAATTTAAACAGACTGATAAAATGCAGCCTTGGCTTGCCAACTGGAAACTGTTACATTTCTCTCTTATCTTTCCTGATGGTAGCCTCTTGTCCTGAACATAGGTTATACATCAGATAATCAAATCTTGTGACACACAGTTTCTTATAGTTTTTCGTGATTTGCACAATCAAAACCTTTCCCAGAATTTAAAAAATACAGACAAATTTTCAGCAGTATATTCAAATAGGAGAATAGTGTCTGTGTTATGTCTATTGTTCATTGTTTCACTCTTTAAAAGGATCCAAGTGGTTGAAATGTCTCAAGGTGACCTCTTTTCAAAGAGGAAAGAACAACGATGAGTATGGAGAGGACAGGGTTATACAAGTACAGAATGCTATTATAATTCAGTAGGTATAAAATAATAGCAGACAATGGAAGTGCGGAGCGGAAAACAAGAGGAGGTGTATAAGATGGAGCCAGTGGGAATGGAATGGAATGGCTTTCATGCTAATGAGGGGCCATTCCTCATCCCAACATTTGGGATACACTTACTCTTTAATCATTTCTGTTTGTGTACATCAACCAGACTAAAAACGCCTAGAGGCAGCAATGTGTTAACAAGCTGTAGGAGAAAAGAACTACATTTAAAAAAAATGTTTATCTTGCTCTATTGCATAATCAACATCAATGCTATTACAGGAAAACCATGTAAAGTCTCAGCACACAGATAGTATATTTACTTTGTGTGTAAATATTGCACACTATTTTAGGTAAGTAGAGCTTTATGAAGATGTCTTTGAAATAGCAAAGGACCTGTCTAAAAATACACAGTTATGAGCTTCTGAAAACTAGCCATTAATAAGGATGTGTGTGTGTGTGTGTGTGTCATCAAGTCACCTGTCAAACTGTGCCCATCCCATGAATTTCATAGAATATTCTTAGGCAAGGAATATTCAGAGGTGTTTTTTCTGGTTTCCTTCCTCTGAAATATAGCCTAAAGCACCTGGGAGTCATTGGTGGTCTCCCACCCAGATATTAATTAGAGCTGGTTCTGCTTAGCTTCCAAAATGTGACTTTAGGGGACACATATCAAATGTAAGTGCTGCGGGCTGAATTTCGCCCTTCAGGTCATTTTATTTTTGAAAATGGCATTTATAATCTTTTGGAAAAACGCCTTTTGGAGATCATAACTTTTTAAAGAAAAGCATGACCTTTCAGAGAAGAACCAAAAGACCTTTAGAGTTGAATCTTCTCTTGTGGTATACAACCAGATATAATTATGCAAGACAGTAGTTTCAGTTGTTAGACTGAGTAACCTGTTATCTGTGATCTGTTAGGAAAACAGAGATTTGCCAGTGCATAAAAACAGAAGAGATTTAGAAGTGTTTTTCAGTGTCCCAAAATATATATACTTTCCCATAAAACAAGCTTTTTTATATAATGCACTCAAGAGACAAAAATGAAGTAGAGTGTATAAAAACAGTAGAGCTTTAGAAGCGTTTTTCAGTGCCCAAATATATATATTTTCCCGTATAACAATTTGTTTTATATCATGCACTCAAGAGACAAAAATGAAGTAGAGTTTGATAAAAAAAATAACATGTGGTTTACTTGCAACCTTAATGTGTTCGGCATACACAGGTACAAAACTTATTAGTCCGGTTTCAGATATGTTTGAGATAATTCTCTGTGCCATCCGACCACAACATCTCTCTAATAACAAAATAACTATCAACAGGTCACATACTCGAAAGGAAAGAAAGAGAGAGGGGGAGAGAGAGCATGTAGTCTGCAGGCCCTTTTATAACTTCTCAGGACCCATAGAGTAAAGGAAGCTGCATACCAGACCATGCATACAGGAAACAGTAAGCAACAAGATAATAGATAAACATTACTAGAGAAGGCTTGAAGAAGGTTGTCATGTCCAGCATTTTATGTACCCCTTTAAGCATTCAATGCCAGGGCAACATTGTTAAATTTATACAGTCTTAAAATTACAAATGGCCTTTTGAAGGCAACCATAAGGCAGATGTGGCCCTCAGTGGAAATGAATTTGACATCCCTAGAGGTAAAAGTAAAGGTTTTCATTTGACATTAAGTCTAGTCGAGTCTGATTCTGGGTGGGGGGAGGTGCTTATCTCAATTTTTAAGCTGAAGAGCTGGCATTGTCTGTAGACGCCTCCTACGTCATGTGGCCGGCATGACTTGACACCCTTGTTTTAGTGTATTTACTTCCATATTAAGTTCAACAAGGTATTTCATACTGAAAATATGGAACCTTGATGTTTTCTGTCCCTGATGAGCATTAGACACGAAAGCAGAATGTCGCATCCTATTGCATCAATTTTCTTACCTTTTGTCTTTAAAAAAAATAGTGGATCTGTTACGTGGATTGGTGTAGTTCTTCTTTAGATTTGTTTTTAGAGTTTCTGCACTGCAGAATATAACTCGTGTTTTCATCCATTAAGGCAATCCATTTTTTACAGTTTCTAACTGAATGGCACACTGAACCTATAAAATATTTCTCATTTATGCCTCTTTAAATCTCCATGCAATTGACTGATGATTCTTTAAAGAGTACATTATTACAGACATTCAGTATTTTACTTTCTATTGCATAACTAATCAGAAAAGTATTCTTCTTTTACTAACGGTGCTCTCTTGAAACTCCCTTTAAAGGAAGATGTTAAGTATTATCATGGAATCAATAACATTGTTTAAATATTTATTGCCCAGTGGGACTAGACTACAGACATGGGGCAGAAAATTCCTCTTTTCCCATTCGTGCCTTGCTTTTGCACTGTGTTCTGGGATTACTGTTGCCAGATGTGGACATGGTTCTTTAGAAAATAACAGTATTACTATTATACGGAATGCCCTGGATTTTTTGCTTCTCCACCAGAAGAACTTTGCGTGTGGGCAGATTATTGGCATTTCAGAATCTATGCAAAGTCTGGGAAGTCAGATTCACTGTAAACACAGCAGTTGAGGACAGTAGGAGCAAGGAGGGGTGTTCAGCTGACTGATTGTTTTGCGAAGTCTTGTTCCAAGAAATTCTGAATTTGGATTTAGTGCAGCACATTTAAAAGAGAGTAAGCTCTGTTCGGGGTGCATATAGGTGTTCTTTAAACTAATACATGTATTATTGTATCAGTTTTATATAAAAAAGAAATCCGATCATGGTCTATGACCACACTGGAAATATGTGAGATTGAGATAACATCACTCTTGGCAATTTCATGCATTTAATTTTATATTAACACTGTACTTCATCGATTCTAAGGCACTATTTATACTAATTTCAGTATCACCGAATGAATGAATGAGTGTGTGTGTATGAGAGACCTGCAATTCTAAGACACAGCCTGTTTTTTGAGATGTTTATGTGGGGGGAAGTTTGTCTTGAAATCAATAGGGTATAGTATTAGTAAAGTGGTGTATTGCAACAAAGTGGACAAGGACAATAAACAGTTTTTTTTCAGGTGGGAAGGCTCAATATTGTCAGGCAAGTTGTATTAATGTATTGTCAAAGGCTTTCATGGCCTGAATCACTGGGTTGTTGTAGGTTTTTCGGGCTGTATGGCCATGTTCTAGAAGCATTCTCTCCTGATGTTTTGCCTGCATCTATGGCAGGCATCCTCAGAGGTTGTGAGGTCCTTTGGAAACTAGGTAACTACCTCTGAGGATGCTTGCCATAGATGCAGGCGAAACGTCAGGAGAGAATGCTCTAGAACATGGCCATATAGCCCGAGAAACCTACAACAACCCAAGTTGTATTAATGTTGCCAGCTTGCTGGGGAGAGCAAAATATTTTCCCAGTCCATTAGAAATGCCTTCGGTGTGCTCATTGTAGCTTACTCCCAAGTTAAGTGTTCATAGGATGGGTTGCTAGCAACCGTTACTATTTCGGAGTAATCTAAACTAGGGCTTCTTCAATGCTTTCCACTCACTATCCCTTTTTAGCTGATAAATAGTTATGTATTTTTAAACAGCTGAATTTCATGTTTATGAAGTACAGCTCAGGCATTTTCGGCAGAATCCACTGTAAACACTGCACATTGTTGCTAACAGATTCATGTAAATGTCTAGGGGGCATTCAGAAGCCTTTTTGCTGCATCCAAATTTTTTGTGACCCCCACATTGAGCTAAGGGTATCCTATTTAGGGTTGGAATCAACAGTTTAAGAAGCAATGGTCTAAACAACAACTGCTATTTTATTTAGTATAATTGTGATTGCTAATGCTCAGTGAAGCTGAACTATGCAGGAGTCTTGGTGGTCCTGTTTTTTGGATCATTCCAGGGGAGCTCAGGCCTCAGCCTAGTCTTAATCAGGCTTGAGCTCTGTTCCCCAGTCTATTATGGTATGGGGGGCGGGGGTGATCAAGCCCCTCTGTCCCTCCTTTGCCAAAGTCCAACAGATTAAGACTTCAGGTTGGAGAGTCTCTGTACAGCACTGCTGTAGTTGCCAAAATTTGACAAATGAAGAATGTCAGGAATGCGAGAGAATCCCACTGTATTCGTCCCTACCATGGAACCCGCTTTTATTGTGCTTCTGTGTGTTCCAGGCTTCTTTTATGACTTCTTGGAGTTCTATGAAAAACTTTTTATAGTGTAATATTTGCTGTGGGATCCACAAGATTAATACAGCTTCTGAAGCAACAGCAGCAGGTTTGGCAGTGGTGGCATCTAAGGGTGGTAAAATAGAGATCCAAGGGCCAAATGTACGTTGTATGTTGCAAAGGATTTTCATGTAGTGGAGTGAAAAAAATAAAATAAAAATTTGTTTTACCTGTTGGTTTACAGATACAGGTACTTTCTTCACAGTTTTAAAGGCATCACATATATTTTCTTTTTCTTGGTGAAACTGAGGAATAGATTATATTTATTTGTCAATTTGTGTTAAAACCTTGGAATAGAATATTTGTGAAGGTATGTTTCGGCTGAGGTTTACTTTATGCCCTTCTCTCATTTTATATTTCTAGGTCCTTCAGAAGCTTTTAAATCACTTCAGAAAAAACAAGAATAAGGTGCTTCTTTTTTCCTTTTCAACCAAGGTGGGCTATGTATTATTTTTGTATGAATGACTTAACTAATGAATCGTGAAGAATTAGTCTGAAATATCTATAGAAAGTATCCACTTTTATTTTTCCACTTGTAGTGGTCATGCAAAATGTGGTGATAACAAGGCAACTTCCGATGTGAAGCTGTACATTTTTCTTACAAGAAAAATAGCTCTGTAGAAAAATGTTGAAAATTAAATGTCTATTTATATAAATAAAATGTAATGCTTGTTTGTGGGATTACCATAACTCAAAAACCACTGGACAAATTGACACAAAATTTGGACACTACACCCATAACAGACCAACGAGTGACCATCACTCATAAAGCCCTCCCAAAAAACAGCAGAAAGAACTTAAAAACCCCCAAAAGCTAAATGATGATACAGCATGTGTGAAAACGACAGCTCCTAGCATCCCCTAGACCAGGCCGTTTAGGGGAGGTGGGTGCTCCAAATGCACTGTTTCCAAGCTGCAAGCTTGCTTATCCTTGGATTTCTTTGAGAGCATCTCAATCCATACATATTTCCTATTTCCTATTCCTGGACTGCAACTCCCAGCAATTCTCCAGATAGATAAGATATATAGATTAGATAGAGATAGTAGATAGATAGATCAGTCAGGAGGACTGCTGGGAATTACAGTCCAAGAATAGTTCTCTACCTACCAAGAATAGGTAGAGAAGGAAGAAAGGAGAGAAAGAAAAAGGGAGGGGGAGAGGGGGAGGGAGGGAAGGAAGGAAGGAAGGAGAGAAAGAAAGAAGGAGAGAAAGAAAGAGGGTGGGAAAGTTGGTCACAGCAACGTGTGGCAGGTACATCTAGTAATCTATTATTATGATAGCACCTTTGACTGTTTTGCTGCCTTCTCACATGTTACAATATTCCAGTGATCCAGATGTAAATTGCATGGCCCTTGTATCCATAGGGAATGCATTCCTGAGCTTACTGTAGAAACAGGAAAAAATGGGTTAAAAGTGAATCCTATTGAACCTTCTTCCTTAGGTTGCCATGTTTCATTTGGAGTACCTAGAAAATTTCCAGGGAAAATTCCTAGAGGGTATTTGCTAGGTCCTTCAGGACAATTTCAGATAAGTTCCATTAAAAGCATACCATAGAATTGCTTGGAGGTCCTCATATTTTATTACATGTGGGTAGGTGAAGCCACAGGTACCAGTCCTGCAGTTATGCTGGTTGTACTGCTTACAATTGTTCTATACAGTTTCCGTGCTTTTCTGCATGGAAATAGTTTTCTTTATAGGAAAAAAGTTATTCATGCAACAGCTCTTATAAATTTAAGATCTAAACTGTATACCTATTTCCTGGAATTTAACCTTGTTAATTGATTCGGGCTTATTTCTGGATAAGCATACATAGAATTATATTGGGACTAGGCCAAAAATTTTGGGGCTGAAAGCTAATTGCATGTCTCAGAATAAACCCACTGAATTAGTTGTTCAGCACTTTTATAAAATCCTGGTGATTCAGATCTGCTGTAGTTGGGACTATTCCCTGAACTGAAGCCTCGTTTTTGTCATTCCCCCAACTGCTTTGTATGATGAACGCAACATATGTGACTATACAGAGTCGTTTCGTTAATACTAAAATGAATATAAACATAATTTGGAATTGCTGCATCAAATTTACTGTTATTTCACGAGAAAAGCAGGCAGTTTAAATTGTACTGTCATTGCAACAAAATTACAAACATTAGAAATGGTTCTGCTAGCCGATAAATATTTATGACTCCGTGACCTTGGGAAAATGGTTATGTTAGGGAGACTGTGGGCTCTTACAAACTTTTAAGACATTCCATCTCTTTAGTTTACTGTAGTTGTCTTTACATTGTACTAATTGCTTAGTCTCCCCATCTTTTTCACCAGTTGCTTGATGTTCTGGAACAATATTGCATGGCATCTGGGCTAGATTACCGAAGACTCGATGGAAATACAAAGGCAGAGGACAGGGTCAAGATAGTAAAAGAGTTCAACGGCATGGAAGAAGTTAACATTTGCCTTGTTTCTACAATGTAAGAAAATGCTGTGTCTGCTTTTGTCTAGGTAGTTAGAGGTTTATAGCAAATTTACTGCACTCCTGCTTGATTGATCCTGCATTTTGTCACTTCCTTGGGAAGAAGCAATAATATTACTGTCTGCTGTTATAAGAGTGGGAAGTAGACTGCATCCATCAAGGCTATTAGGGTAGAAACTAAAAATGAGTCATAACTTTTACTCATTTCCGTGTTTTTCAAGCTGGCGCTCTCTTTCCTAAAGATTGCTTGAGATCTGAAACTGCTGAGTGATAACACTGAAAAAATAAACATTTCGTTTCCATTTCAGAAGGAAGATGTGAATTTTGTGTGAATGGAAACAGTGATAGCATGTTAAAATAGAACTTTGCAAACTTACAATAGTTCAGTTTCTGAACACTTCTCTCAAAGCTTAACAATCATGTTACTTCAATTGTAAGATGCCATCAATTATAAGACACTTTAATTTCAGTACCACCACCAACAAAAATACATAAGATACACCTGCGATTCTAAGACACACACCCTTTTAAGAGATGTTTATATAGGAAAAATGTGAATCTTAGAACTGAAGAAATACAGTATCCCATTTGGAAGATTTCTTCCCTGCTATTTAATTTTCTGACCCAAAATGCTGTGAAACAAGATCTTTCTGTTGAGCATCTTTGCTGCTAATATTATAGATTAACCTTTGAAGTAGGTGATTTTCCTGCCAATTTAGCATCAAAATTCAGCCAGCAAGAACTAAAATATGGTCCACAGCCTCACCATTACTACACTGTTGCAGTGCCCCATGGACCACCCCCTTCCTCATGGCCATGTGCCCATGGGCGAGAACGCAAGAGAAACCTGTTAGAGACAGTTTCTTGGATCTTGAGCTCTGCTTCCCCCCGCCCCCATCTCAGCCTCCTCTCCTTCTTTTTTTTTAAACAAAATCCACAGATAATAACAGCCGAACCAAAAAAAATTTTTTTTCTTGGTGCCTTTGTTTTTAGGCCTGTTCCTGGGGTTATTTGGGGTGCTGATGCATTGGATAGACCACATCAAATATGCGGGGACATGAGAGAAGCCTCCCAGAAGGATGATAAAAACATCAAATCATCCGGGCGTCCCCTGGGCAACGTCCTTTCAGACGGCCAATTTCTCTCACACCAGAAGCGACTTGCAGTTTCTCAAGTTGCTCCTGACATGACAAAAAAAATCAAATATGGTTTTATGTGGGCGAGCAGATGGCGACTATTGGATGGCATATGTTCTGTATCAGAAACTAGAGCTGATGTGGTCTAGCCAATGCACTTTTCTGAATTAGCACCCCAAATAACCAAACCAAATCTAAAGTTGACCAAAAACTGATTCGTAACCCTTTTGGTACTGATGTTGGAGAGTGGACCGTGGTCAAAATGGTCCCTGCTTAAAAAAATTGTTGGGAACCACTGAACTAAGGGGGCCCCATTTAGAGTCTGGACTCACCATTTGAGATGCAGTGGTTTATAGCACCTGATGTTAATTGGTAGTCTCCCACCTCAGTAGCAATCATCAGGGCTGATCCTGCTCATCTGCCAAGATCAGAGAGAATCAAATGTCTCTATTTTTTTAACTGCAATCGATCTGATTTTTTTAAAAAATGCAAATAAAATTGGAGAAACTATCTTTAGCTAGTAGAATGGTCATTTCCTGTCCTCTGAAACCTAATAAGATTTCTCACTTAAAGGATTTGGTGCGTTGGGAGGTGGAATGTCAAAGAAAAAGAAGCACACTCATCCAATGAATTAAACTTCTAAGCTTAAAAGTTGTTACAAATGCTTTCAAATTAGTCTTCCAAGCCTACTTGGAAATTCAATCATTTTGAAACATTTGTAATAGTGTTAACATGAAAAAGAAATTGTCACAGAGCAAAAACACACTAATATATTCAATTTGACCTAGAAAATACCTGTAGGATAACTTATGAAAGGTTCAAATAATGGCATGGAGGATTTTAATGAAACCAAGTCATCACATTTTCTCAGTTAAATTGGCCAACGTGGATGAAGTTTAAGCCAATCCTTTTAAAAAGAGCATCTTCTAAAATGCTTATTTTGGATGATCTTCAGATAGCTTAAAAGTGGTGGAAAAGAAGTGTTATTTGGGAAGTCTAAGCTTGAAAATTTAGGAGAGTTTGGAAAGCTTTATGCCTTTTCAGGTTTTCTTGGAAACTCAAATAAGCATAAATCATGCCCTCCTTAAACTTGAAGCGTGGCATATTAGGTTAATTGAATGTGGCAAGTGGATTTTTCTGTAAATTGAGCACTGTAATTGATGTAAACCTTGTCTCCGTTTCTCAACCCTGTATAGTGTTGAAAATAACTTCAGTGCATCACATTTAAAGCAGCATATTCAAATAGGCTGTTTTAATTACCACAAATTTGAGATTACAGGAGATTAGAGGCACCAGCCTCTAAGTGGTTTTGATGGAAACATGAATGGGTCTGAAGCTAATGTGATAGTAAGCACTTGAGACTAGATGACTAGCATTGTGAGGACTTTTGTCATTTTTCTGAAGTTTATAATTTATGAAAAAAATGTATGTGATTCATTTGCCATACAATTAATTGCCAGACACAGATAATTCTTGGAGGAGATTTACTACCAATTTGTCTAAAAACAATAGTGATGATATACAATTTGAATTGTATTTTATGCCTTTATATATACTTGAACTTTTTGTTTCTTCTGTTACTCTAAAGGGCTGGTGGACTAGGACTCAATTTTGTTGGTGCTAATGTTGTTATACTGTTTGACCCAACTTGGAATCCAGCTAATGATCTACAAGCCATTGACAGGTACAAGTCAATTGTTAAAGAATTGTTTACTATGGTAGATATGGTGTTTTTCCATTTCTGACTCTGAGAGCATTGGTTTTGCAGAGCATACAGGATTGGCCAATGCAGAGATGTGAAAGTATTTAGACTTATATCTTTGGGCACTGTGGAGGAGATGATGTACTTGCGGCAAGTTTACAAACAGGTAACATTTTCACGATGTTTACACTTACATTGGGTTTTTTTTAAAATACAATAATTCTGATTTTATGTTGAGCAACAATAAATTCTTATTTATTAATAAATTAAAAAGAACTTGTGTTGTAAATGGTATATCTGCTGTAGGCTGTGAGTACTGTTACTAAATTTCATGTTACACAGGAGACTTCAGACCACATTTCCTTTCCTTTCCAGTAAAATGACTCCACAATGGCAGCATCTGCCAGAGTAAATAAAACATAATATTTTCTCATGTGGGGATTTAGGTCTGCTTTAAATCTAGCTATATATTGTAAATGCCAGGAAATTCTGACCCGTTGTTACAGAAACATACTTCTGAAATCTTTTGTGTCATTCTCTCTTTTAGCAATTGCATTGTGTAGTGGTTGGAAGTGAAAATGCCAAGCGATATTTTGAGGCAGTGCAAGGATCAAAAGAACACCAAGGAGAACTTTTTGGTATCCATAATCTTTTCAGGTTTCAGGACCATGGATCCTGTCTTACAAAAGAGATTCTGGAGGTTTGGTGTTTATCCCTTTGTCATTTCAAATATGTTTGTATTGATTCATTATGACTTACTGTCTACGCGAAGAAATAAAAATTCTAAAATGTAAAGAGATTTTCACTATTGCAAAAGTATAAAGCAACGCAGCTGAGAACTGTGTATTTGGAGGCAATTGGGGTAAACTGTAGGGGTGACGCAGATATCGGAACTGAATTGGGATTGGGATTGTGTAATAGCTGGTCGATTTTAACCTTTGTTTTAACCTTCGTCCTTAACTTCTGTGATAATGAAGTTTTACCTTGGCACTTTAATGATGATATTTTTAATTATCTTTAACTTTTAAATTAATCAACTTTTCATAGTGTTTTAATGTATGTTAGTTCACTATTACAGGAGTTTTGGGACAGTGATTAGTGCCTATTTGTGTATTTTTTTTTTGTTTTTGTCTTTTACTGTTTATATAGTCAGTGGACTAATCAATAAACTTTACTACCACTATTGCAAAAGTAGAGCCCTGTCCATAGGCATCATAAGACTAATGGGCTAAATTCAGCTGTTTGATCCAATGAGAGTAGACTCATTGAATTAGCAAAACTTATATAAGTATTGATTTAACAATGCTTAAGTTCTTGCGCCTACTCTAGAAATACTAACATTTGGATTTAGCACAATCTAATTTCCTTGCTGAACAGGAGAATTCCACTCCAATTACTATACCAATTTATCATATATTTAAGATGTTTATAATACACACACACCCTTCTAGTAAGCAATCAGAAACATGCCTGAATGTAATTGTGCCAATAACGGTGTGACCCACTAAGAAATGTTGTAATGTTCAGTTCTCCAGTTCAGTATCAACCAGCCGTTTTCAAGACAGTTTCTACACTCTACCTTTTTTATTCTTCTGCCCTCAACAAACAGTATTCTGTTGTCATAGAGGATGCTTAGACTTCATTTTGCTTCATTTGGTCCATATAACGCAGTGTATATGGCACATTAGCCTGAGGCATCCAAATAACACATCCATGCTAATGCAAAGTAACCTGGGGTAAACCATTTAATCTGGTTTACACCTAGGTAAAAAAAAAATACCTTCAAAGATCCAGATCTTCCTTGAAGATCCAGATCTTTACAGGTATGGGGTCTATAAAGATACATGCTCTTGATGGCCAAACAATATCACTGGACAGGGGGCAAACAGATCCCAACACTGTCCCTCCTTCAATAAGGAATTCACACCACTTTGGAACTTATAGCGTTTGAGGGGATGTCTCTTTATTAAAACCTTCGCTGCCACCATAAACTGAAGAATCAGGAACCCTCCAGCTATTTAGAATGTTAAAAGGCTTTTCTAGGACCACCAAACACTGTGTATTAAAAAGGGCTTCTTTGAGGGGAAACAGGAGAGGTTGATTTAAAAAGAAAAAAAGACTGAATCTACAAATGGCACTTGACTCAGGCTTAAATTTTAAAAATAACAAGAAAGAGTTTATTGAATACAAGTTACAGAATAAAAGTGAATGCAGGTTCAGAGGCTTAGCTGTTACAATTAAAGTGTTCTTGGTTCTTAGAAGCGTAACGGTTGCTTGAGAGAATGGTTCTATTCTTTGTTACAATTCCTAAACAAAACCCAGCTATTCTCTTTCCTAAAATAGCTGTAACCAGTCTGCCACAGCCTGCTTTGCTGTGCAAACTTCAGGCAAGCTGCCTATTCCTAACAGAGACTCCTAACACTCTAATCCTACTCTAACATCACCCAGAACTGAACTCAACTGTCAAAATAAGCTGCTCTCTTTCCCTCCAACTGGCTAACTCCGCCCCCCTTTTTCCAACCAATCCTGGCTGTTGCTGGGCTGGCTCAGGCCTAGGCCACTCCCCACTCTGAACTGGAGTCTTCCCTAAACTAAGATGGCTCCTGCAGCTCGCTGCCAGGCCCTCTAAGCTGAAACTACCTAGCCTGTCTCTTCCTAGGCCCTGCCACCCCCGGCTGGCAAAGGTAAGGGATCTTCACAGGGTCCTTGGAGCGGTGCCTGGGTGTACCATCTACAGTCCCACATGTCTTGTCTCCCCAGCCATCACACACTCCCCAGGCTCAGGCAGCCAGTGAAAGTGGGTTGGCCATGCACCATCTCCTCCCTGCCCCCTGTTTTGCTTCAAAACTGAAAGCATGCCTTCCCCTCTCCAAAGCTGTGTTGTATCTTCACTGAGAGTGATGGAGCTAAAGAAATCCTCCAGCAATGGTAGGGAGAAGTGGGGGAGGCAAAACAAGTTATAGAGAGGGGAGGGTGGCACTCACCATACCTAAACCACATCTAAACTGTGGGTATGTCTGTCCTCCCCCCCCCCCCCCCCCCCCCCCCCCAGTCCACCATTGAGGTGTAGTTTTGTCCCTGTGAGTGGTTGCAAAATGTGGCACTAACTGGCATTTTTAATTGCGTCCTTAGAGACCTTTTCTACTTTTGTTAACTCTGAGATTAGGAAACAAGACCTTTCCCTTTATCAGTTTTTGGTGTTTGCCTACCTTCCTCGGTATTCTTTACTTTGAGTGTCTGTGGTTGTCTAGAGCTTCAGACAGAAGTATTCTCAGTGTTTGCTCAAATCACCAAAGATTGAACTGAGACCTTTTGCCCATATGGAAGGCATGTGTAACTGCAGCCTGTACTCCCCCCCCCCCCCCACCACCACATCTACTTGATTCTTCTCTTTCCTGAATGGATGGAAGATTGGGGGGGGGGGGTGGGAGGTGTTGGCTATATAATGACCAGTACTATATGAAAGAATTCATCCTCATGATATAATGCACTACAGACCAGATTTAACTTTTATGCAATTTCATTAATAGAGAGAGGGAAAAGTGGAAGCTGGCGTCATGACAGCTACTACATGGTTAGAAGAAGAACCCCAGTCACGCGGAAACCAAATGGTAAATTAGCTAGTTGTCTTTCTACCATTGCATGCCATGAAACTTGTAATGTAATGTTTTCTGTGTACAGGATTCATAAAATTTCCAAAGTAGGGAAAGAATTAAATTAGAGAAATTCATAGGGGATGGGCTATCAGTGACGTCATGATGGATATATACCATAGATCAGGGATCCTCAAACTTTTTAAACAGGGGGCCAGGTCACAGTCCCTCATAATGTTGGAGGGCCGGATTATAATTTGAAAAAAACACGAATGAATTCCTATGAACACGGCACATATCTTATTTGTAGTTAAAAAAAAACACCTAAAAACAATACAATAATTAAAATGGAGAACAATTTTAACAAATATAAATTTATTAGTATTTCAATGGGAAGTGTGGGCCTGCTTTTGGCTGATGAGATAGGATTGTTGATGTTATTGATGCTTTCAAGTCATTTCAGACTTAGGTTGACCCTAAGCGAGGGCCGAGTAAATGACCTTGGAGGGCCGTATCTGGCCCCTGGGCCATAGTTTGAGGACCCCTGCCATAGATAGATGCCATAATATCATACTACACCAAAGATTGTATGCCTTTGTATAGAAATTCCTGGGGAACATATATGGGATGATTTGTGGGTTTCTATAAGCAATTGGTTGAGCAAAAAATGACCTAAATGCTTTGATTAATCTAGCATGGCTATAAGTTTTTGTGGTTGAATGTTTAAATGGCATTTAATTTTCCAAAACCTATTGAAAGAGACCATATTTTAGTTCTTGCAGATCACTGGTGGTCCACGGACCACAGGTTGGAGGCCACTGCTTTATATAATTGCAGAGCTATTTGTTTTCCCATTTCTCATTCGGATGAATTACTATTTTGTATGACCTCTTTTTTTTTTTTTTTTTTGCATTATTTCAGCATGAGCATGAAGATCAAGAGACTGTCAGTTGTAAGGAATCACTGGGGAAGGAAGGGTTTGATTGTAGCAGTGACTTCAGTGATGAGGAGTCTGTGCAAGATTGTAAGGTGAAAGGAGAAAGAAGCAGACTCTCTAATGCAAAGAACACCAAAACTCTTCAGGGACAACTTACTTTAATGCAATGTAGGTTCCCTAAACTTCTGGAAAAGAGAAGCAAAACAACTGAAGATGACAGTTCCAGTGACGAAAATGTTGATGGCCAATCTATGAAAAAGAGATCCAAAGGTATCTCCTTAAGTAGTTGTTCCCTGAAAAGTGAAGGCCATTGTAATATTTCACAACACCAGACAACCTCTCTGTCACCACACAGAAGAACAAAACAAGAGGAGTGTATTGAAAATGTGCATTGGGATCCTCCTGCTCCGTCACACATTAAAGACGAAGACCCTATTGGAAAAAATTATAAAGATAGGTATATCTCAAATCAAGTTGGGATAGTTCAAGAGACTGAAGCCAGTTCATCTGAAAATGATGATGTTCTTAAAAGCTATAAAGACACAAATGCAAAGTGTGAATGTTTATGTACTGAAAACAGCCCCGAGCTTACATCTCTCCAAAAACCTTTGATATCCGAGCAACGTAGTAGATGTGCATCAACTTTCAGTAAAATAAAATCATTTAAAAACATTCCAAAGATCAAGACTATGAAAGAAGAAAGCGACATTAGTGATGAGTCTGATGATATCGAGATGCCAAGAACAAGAGTGCATAAATTTGCCACCAGTGGGAAAAAAAGCCAATTCCATAACAAGAAGCACAACAACCCTTCCAGAATAACTTCGTATCGTAGCAAATTAAGCACAGAGCAAAGTAGTGCTGAATCTCAAAATATAGAAGAGTTTTCATCACCTGAAGACAATTCCGTATTTGGGAAGACTGATGTTAATAAACAAAAGCTAAAGGGGGATAGGTGTCAAATTCAGTTTAAGTCTGGATTATCGAAATATTCCCATCACCCCTCTGTGGTGCTGAGAAAACCAAGTAATTCAGATAGACTACTGAACCCTTTGAGCAAAGAAGCAACTTCTAGCCAAAGACGAGAAGAGGGATCATTGGACAGACTTCTTGGTAATTTTATATATACTTTTATAAATATATAAATACATAGACCGAAAGATGTAGGGTGGCTTTTAAAAAAATAAATGAATAAATAAAGCTCCATGGTGTATAACATACGTTTTTAAGACAATTACAGATTTTGGCAGGCATCTTGTTGTTTAGTCCCTATTACAGTATATCCATTAATTCATTTATTTTTTAATGATTCATTGTGGTTACTCTGGTTGGAATTGATAATTTAGGTGTCAGAGATTGATGTAGATATGCATGGTGCTTAATTTGTAAAATCATAACTTAATTTGATGTTTAATAGGCTTTTCCTTAATTGCTCCTTATTGCCCAAAATTTTTGCTTATCCAACGTTCTGCCGGCCCGTTTATGTTGGATAAGCAAGACTCTACTGTATTGTAATAATCCAACCTTACTGTGTAGCAGTCCATTTAGACATTAATTAATGAAGCAGATATGTTCTTGGGAATGACTTCTTTAACAAAAAGCTTAGTACTACCGAGTGAAATAATATGGGAAGAACAGGGATATGTTCCTCCACCACAAAAAGATGAGAAATTCAACATGTTAGAACAAGCTTTGTATTCAAAACTAATAATATGAACGTGTAAAATAACACAGCCAGGTCAGGTAAGCCTTGGATAGGTAAACAAAAATATTTTAAAGAGATGATTTGAAAACTTCTTCCAAAGCCCATCCTGGGGTGACTGCTAATTTTCCTAGCTTCCGTGTTTCTTGTAATTACAATTTTGGTGAGCAGACTTGGATCTGGGCCTTTTTTTTAACATGCTGGGGGTAGCTGGTGGGATCAGCTGATGTACTTTCCTTTTTTCTCTCTGTCTTGCTGGAGGCACCTGCTGTTTACAAGAACCCACAGCTATAATAGGATTGGCTTGAGCAGTACCTGTTTGTTCCGAACTTATGCTATTTTGCATTATTTACTGCACACACCATTCCTGCAACTCCAGTCCTCTTTCACCATTATTCTAATGCTGATGTTAGTAAAAAAAAACTTTCAAGAAGTTAGAGCAAGGAAGAAAAGTGGGCATAAAATACTTTGTGAAAAAGAGCTTTTTTGGCAGAGGTTTTGTTAATTGAGTTATGCCCCTACTTCCTCATCTCCTTTGTATATTTTCAACAGTATAAACCAACCCTGTTGTTCGTGCTTTGTTAGAAAATTAACTTTACAGCAATTTCTAGTGCTTTCAAACAAATTTTCTTTTTCTTGCTGAAGAAAAGTTCATCTTCTTTAAAATTGTTAGAACTTTCCACTTGTAGGTTCAAATATGTATTCTCAGATATGCTTGGATGAATGAATGGTAATTAAAAATTCAAACTTTGGATTGTGTGATTTAAATTTTAATGTAATGTCTATCAGTCAATCATATACAGTTGTTAAATACACAAACTTTGTATTTCACCCTCCAATTTACTAGATGATGTGGCTGAAGTCTCATACATTCATTCAAACCAAAACGTTGTTGGCGCAAGCAAAGCTGAAAATCAGATGAGTCGGTGGGCAGTGCGCGATGTATTTGAACTACAGCAATTTTCCCAACTCCCTGCAAATGTAGCAGTATGGCGAGCCAAGGTAAAGAAGAGATGAGAAATATTTTCTATTACTGTTATTATTTTTTAACCTCAATGTTTTCCTTGTTTTTAAACCCAAGGTTTCCTTTATTGGCCACCATGAGTGATCAAAGGCCTCACTTCTTGGTGGAGGCGCCTCCAACAGCGTCCTGACAAAGCGAGTGCTGCTATTTATGTACCAAAGAAGTCAGGACTGGGGCAGATTGTCATGTTTTGAAAGATAGTTATTTTTACTGGAAAATGCTTATCTGTGAGGCATGCCAAAGATGTATATGTAAACTGATATGCCTTTGTTTGCTTTTGTTAACAAACAGAATTTGAAAGAGGAACAGAAACATGTCCAGACATTATGAACATTTTTGGGAGATAATACCAGGACCTGGAAATAACAGTTTAGATGTACTTAGTTACTTTGGGCAGGTAACAAAACTGTAATCGAATCATATTTCAAAAGAAACAAATCAAAAGAAAGTTACTTTATTGATATAAAAAGTATTTCTAGTTTCTTTCAAAACTCACATGTTAAAGTCATTTAAAAACACTTATAGAGCCATTTTAAAGTTATATTTCTGTGGTAATGAAAAAAAGTTTTGTTGCTTCTCTTATAGGTGTAGCAGTCCTATCAATGTATAAGACTTTATAGTGTAATAACTTCAGTCTTTCATTCATATATTTTTTCTCTAGATCAGAGGTGGGAATCATAACTTCCAAGACCATATTTGCATTCCTCATTATTTCTCCTAGCTAAACTGATAGCTATCACTTTTAACAGGAGCTGTGTTGTAAATAGTGTTTTTTAAAATACTTTTATTCCATGAATAGTTCAGATGTTCATAAACATTCAGTTGAGACATTTGTGAACTAAAGAATGAAGATCCGCCTAGTTAAAGCAGTTATTCCCCGTAGAAACCTATGGTTGTGAGAGCTGAGCTAAGGAAGATAGATGCTTTTGAACTGTGGTGTTGGAGGAAAATTCTGAGGGTGCCTTGGACCACAAGAAGATCCAACCAGTTCATAGTTCAGGAAATAAAGCCCGACTGCTCATTGGAGGGAAGGACATTATAGGCAAAGATGAAGCACTTTGGCCACATCATGAGAAGACAGGAAACCTTAGAGAAGACGATGCTGGGGAAAATGAAAGGAAAAAGGAAGAGGGGCTGACCAAGAGGAAGATGGATGGATGGTTTCCTTGAAGTGACTGGCTTGACTCTGAAGGAGATGGGGTGGCGATGGCCAACAGGGAGCTCTGGCAAGAGTCAGAAGCGACTGAACAAATAAACAAGAACAAAAACTAAAGAAGTGAAACTTGTATTTTCAGAAGGGATTATTATAAAAACATTTAGCTGGACAATTGTTTCTCCTGGGGGAAATAAAATGATGGGAAAATTGTCACCTAATTTCTTTGTGCCAGCCTGTTTTAAGAGCTCGCTGCCCTTCTATTTACAGTCTCTGTGTGGGGTTGCCATCAGGAGAGTTCTTTTTCGTTAATAGCTGCAAGGAAGATGTAAAAGAAAAGACTGTATTTTTTTTCAATGTAGAGATTGGTTGTTAATACTTTACTGACTGAAGCACAGTCACTCAACAAGTTTAGTAGTAACTGTCTGAGGAAATGGTTCTTTGATCCTTCCCCACAACAATGTGCTAATATTTGAATATTCAGCTTTTCCTAGAGTCCAACAATTCTTTTTTTGTTTACTAAGAAGGAAAACTGTTGAGTCACTGTACCATTGCCAGTGTTGAAAGACATTGAACACCTTTTTTTCTGCTATGGAACAATAACAACAGTAATAACTTTATTTCTCACCCGCCTCTCCTTGTAGCTTGAGACGGGTTACAACATAGCTAAAAACGCATAATCATTATAGAAAACACACATGTTTGTTGTTTATTCGTTCAGTCGCTTCCGACTCTTCGTGACCTCATGGACCAGCCCATGCCAGAGTTCCCTGTCAGTTGTCGCCACCCCCACTTCCTTCAAGGACAAGCCAATCACTTCAAGGATCACATCCATCCATCTTTCACTTGGTCAACCCTCTTCCTTTTTCCTTCCATTTTCCCCAGCATTGTTATCTGCTCCAAGTTTTCCTGTCTTCTCATTATGTGGCCAAAGTACTTCATCGTTGCCTCTAATATCCTTCCCTCTAGTGAGCAGTCGGGCTTTATTTCCTGGAGCATGGACTGGTTTGATCTTCTTGTGGTCCAAGGCACTCTCAGAATTTTCCTCTAATACACAGTTCAAAAGCATCTATCTTCCTTCGCTCAGCCTTCTTATGGTCCAGCTCTCTCATCCATAGGTTACTACAGAGAGTACCATTGCTTTAACTATTTTAAACATAAAGTGGAACAGATAATGATAATGATGTATTGTCGAAGGCTTTCATGGCCGGAATCACTGGGTTGTTTTAGGTTTTTCCGGGCTATATGGCCATGT